GGCTACAAATGTATAAATATGTAGCTACGGATTTAGATTGACATTCCGCCTGTGGCATCACTCTCGAGCGGTCTTGCCCAGGTAGTCCGCGCTCTCGTCCCCGCACGGAAGCGCCCCTCTTCGCCCGCGCGCCCCCGCTCTCCCCGGCTAACACCGGCCGAGCGGACGCCGTTGGTGAGTTCCTTTGTCTTTTCGCATCGTTCTTGCCGCCTCGCTCCGGCGGGGAGGTTTGAGCGCGCTTTGCTTTGTTTTGTTTTATTTTTAATTTTTATGTTATTGTTTTATTGTTATACTGTTACTTTGTGTTGTTACTGTTCTTAGAAGATCGTCTCTTGCTCTTCTCAGAGCGAGCCCTTGTTCTTTTCAGAACATAGGGACCCCAGCTTCTCGGAATAGAGCGTCAGTCCTCCCCATTTGCCACCCAAGGCCCTGTTCTTCTCAGAACAGGGACCTCTAGATTCTTAGAATAAATCATAAATCGACCTCCCTGTACAAAACAACATGTCTGCCATAGATATGAACCAAGTTTATAGCCAAATTGCGGTCCAGATTACGGCCCTGATCCGTCAATTTGGCCAAGATCATGGAATACCCCTCAATATTGACGAATCCCAACTCCTTAGGGCTTTTTACCCCAATCAGGTCCCCATTGCCCCTCAGGCATGTAACCCTCCGCCCGTCGTCGCGGCATTCTTAGCGGAGGATGACCCCGAAGCCATGAAAAACTCTGACACCGTGTCTGAAACTTCGTCCACCCGTAAGAGGTCCGCTCCTACATCGATCTCCTCATCCAGTAGCTGCTCCTCGGACTCATCACAGTCCGATCAATCAGTCATTGATGCACCCACTTCACGGAAGTGAAATCCAAGCGCGGCTCGAAACGCGCTGCGACCTCTCGTCCACCTCTCGCGCCTTCCCGCTCTACGGCAGCCCCCGCGCCTGCTCGCTCCACCACACCCCCCGTCGCTGCCACTAAGAAACAGGTCCCGCCCCCTGTCTTCCTCAGGGACAAGGCGCAATTCACTAGACTTTCTAAAGTCTTTTACGACGCAGGTTTTAAATATGACCAAGCCACCAACCTTGGTGAATTAATTAAAATCGTTCCACAGTCTATGGAAGACTTTAGAAACATCACCAAAGTATTCACATCCGCACAGCTCGAAAGAGTGTCCTCGGCCACGTGATACCGAGTACCCACCCGCTTGCGTCCTTTGCGGACAGACCGGCCATACGGCCAACTTCAGAGGCTGCCCTCGCGCGCTTCGCCCCAATCTCGGCAACAAAGCTGCCAAAAAAGCTCCGCCACCGGTAAATGACCGTACATTCCCGGCTCTCCCATCCAAAATGCCCCTTCAGGGCAACTCTCAGTTACCTCAGGACCTATATCAGCACCCTCAGAGACCCTACAGGCCTCCTCACCTTCGCCCACCAGGGCCCCGACATCAGGCAGAACCCTCTTACGCCGATAACGTTGATACAGTATACACTGTTATCCGCAATATCGACGTAAGAGAGATCGCAATTTTAGCACGCAAACTGCGCGCTTCTCAGTCCCCTCAAGACCGTCTGCTCGCACTTACCGAGCACCAACACCTTTTAAACTCAATATAAGTAGTCATCCCATTCGTAAGCTGCCTTAGCTAGGCAGCAACTCTTCCCAGCGGCTATTCGCCGCTAGCGCCCCCCTTTCACCCAAGGAGGGTCGCGTTCGATAAGGCTTAAAAATCTCTAGCTAGATTGTTAAGCCAGTCCCTAAAAGGTGGGGTTTAGTGGGTAAAAGTCTCCACATAACCACGCAGCCGGCTGCGTGGTATGCTATGAGCATTGCCCACCTCCCTCCCCCGCTTTCCGGAGGGTTGCCGATATTTGCTTCCAGCGCAAAAAAAAATTTAGATTGACGTTTGTTTTGATGTTTCTGTCCACATCCTACCACGTGACGCGGCTTGCGCCGCGGCCATTACACGACGACAAAGTTGAATATGTAAAAAATTCAAAGGTTATGTACAAAAACTTATATAATAATAAGTTGCACGTGTGTTACTTTTTATTATATATGTGTTATGTACGTATTATTTGTGTATGTTATATATATACGTGGTATTCACCAGGGTCTAAGATCAAAGTAACTGCCTTACCAGGGTGCATATCTCAAGTTGTTTACAGAAGCTGATATCACGACCGGTCAGTAATTTTTCTATTTATTTTTTCTTAATTCATTATTCCTATAAATATACATCCTATGAAAGCCTGCTGCTGACTATAAGCATCCCCCATAGATTGCCACTTAGGGAAGATTTTGTCATAGTTGCCGCAAGATAGTGTATATGCCTTGGTTTTCAAACTTGGCAGGTGCGTTGATTATCATTTTCCATTATTTTATTAATATGAACACCAGTAATGTCATATATACGTACGTTAGTACTCTTATTAGTTTGTGGTCATAGGGATGGACAAGTGAAAAAAGTGTATAATATATTTATTTAATCGATATTTTAAAGTAATTGTAACAAATCATTTACTGTGTTTCGTCCTTCTAACTCTAGTTGCGTAACTCGAGTTTAGTTAGAGTCGTGTGAGATTGAAATAGAATTAATTCGAGTCGTAATTTTTCCAAGTAAGCACATCTATAGGACGGCGGTCCTCAACCCTGGGGTCGCGACCCCGTGTGGGGTCGCGAAAGATATTTATGGGGTCGCCAAAAAAGTCAAAAAGGTCCTTTATTTATCGAATTTTATTAAGGATTATGCATAAAATATAACCTCTCTTTACATGCACAATTACACAATGTCATGTCAATTACAATCAATTACACCTGTCCAGTCCCGCCGGTCACAACCTCACCGCTCCCGCGCCCGCGCCCCCACCCCGATCGCTCTTTCTTCGTTCAGTCTGTCTGTTCAGTCAGTTCTATCCGCACGTGCGTACTCATCGCCGCTTTGTCGATTGCAAATACATACTAAATTGATGACAAAACACGGAAGATTACTTCTGTAGAAAGTTTTTTTTTAGAAGATTAGTGTTCTCGTGGATAACCACGCACACGGTAAGTAACTGTGCACTCATACTTAGAAAATAAAGTGAGGTGTCATCGCAGCGCGGCCATGTTGGACGCGTGGGTTCAATAACAAAACCAGCGCGAAATATTTTTTTACGCTTCACTTATGTATTTTTAGGGTTCCGTTTGAGAAACAAGGAACCCTTATAGTTTCGTCAAGTCATGTTTGTCATTCATACAAACACTATGAAAAACAAAGTTACAACTAACATCCAGTCATATCATTACTTGCTACCACGGAACCCTTCATGTGCGAGTCCGACTCGCACTTGGTCCCTTTTTTTTGCTTGTCTATTTGTGCTTCGTTGAAAATAAATTTGAAGTATATCCTGTTACCACGCGAGCATATGACGAAAAATCTAATATTAATCGTTTGGAATACATTTTGTATTTATTAATACGTATTTATTATTGCAGTTAACAATGGATAAGTGGCTAATAAAACGCACATCTACGGATGCAGGTGGCGGAAGTCCTAATAACGCATCACAAATCAAAAGAATTAAACATGTAGTTCTTGACAGCAGTGTCGCCTCAGATTCTACAATGACAACTACTGTTACGAGTAATATAAGTCGTGAGACCAATGCCACCACTTCAAGTACTAGTAGTGTTATTACTATCGATGAAAGCAGAGAAACATCTAGTTCCACTACTATAACTATTAGTCATAACAGCGATGATTGTAATTCAACAGCCACATCTACCTTACACATCGATACAGAGAGTGGCGCTTCAACTTCAACTAAACAAGCAACAGCTACATCTGAGACAACTAGGAAGCGTCAACGCATCTTTAAAGAATCGTACATCCAGTTTGGTTTTAAATGTACAGTGTTGAATTTTGAACAACGTCCACAGTGCGTTGTTTGTTCGGAGGTTTTGGCAAATGAGAGCATGAAGCCGGCCAAACTGAAAAGGCACCTAGAAACTAAGCATCCACAGTTTAAAAATAAAGATGAATCTTATTTTAAACGACTTGCCACCAAACTAAAATCACAGCAGGTTGATTTCCAAAAATACACAACAGTTAACCAAAAAGCTTTACCAGCATCTTTCGAGGTTTCCTTTTTGATTGCCAAAACTAAAAAACCTCACAACATTGGCGAGACGCTCATTTTGCCAGCTGCAATGAAAATGGTTTCGATCATGCAAGGAGAAAAGTATGCCAATTTACTGAAAACAATTCCACTATCAAGTGACACTGTTCATCGTCGTATCAATCTACTTGCTGATGATATCAAAATACAACTTATAGATCGCGTGAAAGGGAGTCCCTATTATGCTATTCAGCTGGATAAAAGCACTGATGTAGCTAATGTAGCTCAACTTCTGATATTTATCCGATACCGATATGAAAACGACATACGCGAAGATTTGTTATTTTGTCAGAATTTAGAAGGAAGAACAACCGGTGAAGCAATTTTTAATGCAGTTAATACCATTTTTGAACTCCATGACATAAAGTGGGAATATTGTGTATCTGTGTGTACAGACGGCGCAGCTGCATTGACCGGCTCCAAAACAGGATTCAAAGCAAAAGTAACTGAGATTGCACCTCACGTAGGCTTTGTTCACTGTATGATTCACCGTGAAGCCCTTGCAGCAAAACATTTGCAACCAGATGTAAATAAAGTGTTGGAACAAGTCGTAACAATAATAAATTTTATTAAAGCTCGCGCATTAAACAGTCGCCTTTTCAAAATAATGTGTCGTGAAATAGGATCAGAATATGAAAATCTACTGTTACATACGGAGGTCAGGTGGTTATCGCGAGGAAAAATACTCCGACGTGTATTTGATCTCAAAGATGAAATCAGAATATTTCTACTTGAACGGGAACCAAAGCTAGCGGAATATTTTTTGAAAGAAAATTGGTTGGCAACAGTTGGCTATCTTTCGGATATTTTTGAAAAACTTAACGATTTAAATCAATCGTTCCAAGGGAAGAGTACAAATGTATTGATTTTAGCTAACAAAATTAAAGCTTTTTGTAGGAAAATAAGTTAGTGGATAGACGAAATCAGTGCTGAAAACTACGAGATGTTTGTATGTTTGGAAAATTTTCTGAAGAAAACAATATAAAGCTCGAAGAAGAAATTAAAACCAAAATCATGATGCATCTTACAAACCTTAAGCAAGACTTGGAAATAAGATTCCCAGATACGTCACACGGCGACCAATGGATAATTAATCCATTCACTTGTGATCTTAACACTGTGAAGATGAACTTAAAATAAAAGGAGCAGCTGATCGATTTAATGTCCGATGAAAGCCTTCGATCTATTTTTTAAACCACGGATGTATCCAAGTTCTGGATAATGACGGAAAAGGAATATCCACTGTTATTTAAAACATCTCTGCTGAAATTGCTGCCATTCGCATCTACATACCTTTGCGAGACAGCTTTCTCCACATTAACTGCTATAAAAACAAAATATCGCTTCAGACTTAACGTAGAACCTGATTTGAGGGTGTCTGTTTCTGATAATATATCACGAAGAATTAATATACTGACTGCAAGTGTGCAAGCACAATGTTCACATTAGATTGTAAGGTTACGTATATGTACCTTCTTTTTTAAATAAAATATTAAAATAATTGCTTGTCTCATTTAATGCCATAATAAATATTACTCGTATGTTAAATGCATATTTTCTAGTTTGCTCTAATATTACTTTCCAAAATAAATAAACTCTTCAATATAAATAATTTACGAAATAAAAACAGCTAACTTCGTTACATGAACCAACCTTTGCACTTGTTAACTTAGTGATATTTTTTCTGGGGTCGCTCATAACTCTTTTTTGAATTTCGGGGTCGCAATATCAAAAAGGTTGCGGACCGCTGCTATAGGATGCAACATCGCTCATTAAAAACATCGAAGTTTATGTACGATATATCGATTTTTTTCTATGTTTTTTATAAAACATACATATGGAATTAATAATCCTTTTGAACAGAAATGAAAGAAAGAAGTATAATAATCAAACATTATATTTATGTTGTTTTAGGAAGTTTTACACAATTTATTTTACACATTTAATTTTATCGAATAATTATCAGAAAACAAGAATTAATTAAATATTTTTTTTACTTTTACGTTTATTTCTTTCGAATTGAATTTTAAAATAACAATTTTGACAATCTGGTGCCCAGTACTCGTAAGTGGTTTCTCTCCTGGGTGATTGTAGATCCAGCCTCTGAAAATAACCGCCCACGGGATACCGAAGTTACCACGGTAGGTAGGTATGTCTTATCGAGGCTATGAAGCCCGGGAAATAACCCTTTCATGATATCCCACATGTAATATATGAAACTCGTCTTGTGCTTTAGTTTTATTTCTTATGATGTGGTGCGTTAATTTGTTATGGTAGTTCCATGTCTTGCCTTCAGTATTAACGCATTTTCTGAATACATCTACGTAATTATACTGAAATGCAAACAGGTGAATAACCATTCATCCATAAAAAATATTTGTAACTAAATACGAAGTACCGTAAGCCGATAAAATAATTTCCATTACAAAATAACTATCAATTTATAAGACTGCACTTAAGCTATTCATTAAGGTAAAGTCCAAATAATAAAATCATTAATAAGAAAATGAATAAAACAATTTCAATCCATTTTCAATATTTGTAAACTGTCTTAATTATCACAATAAAAATAACTGCAATGTTACATCGAAAATGGAATTACCAATTGTACTTCTGAAGTTCAAGTATATTTATTTTCGACTGAAAGACCATTCGCCTGTATGTTGATTCGTAGTTAAAATTTTCAGGATTGAGTTATTTCTGCTAAATACTCGTAAACTTTCTAACTTTAAAAATTTAGACGTTATCTACCTTTGACATATCTTGTTTCGATTTTTTTTTTGGCAACATAAAATTCATGATAATCATCGTTCGTAAGTTTTAACATACGGAATTTTATACCTTCGAATAGTTGGTTATTTCCTAACCTTTGACGGCAGAACATCGTTCATAAAACATAGCTCATGAAGAACCATGTTTATGAACGATATATCGATGTTTGAAAGAATTGATGTATCGTTTTCATCCCTAGTCGCGCATCGAATAAGTGCCCCAACTCCCTTAGTGTTATTACACTGCACGGTGGAAGGGAACTGCAGATCGGGTCCACTTTGTTGATGATTATCATGAATTTTATGTTGCCGAAAGATAAATATTTGAAACAAAATACGCCAAATTTAGATAACGTCTAAAAAGTTGGAAGGTTTACAAGTATTTAGCAGAAATAACTCAATCCCGAAAATTTTAATTACGAATCAACATACAGGCGAATGGTCTTTCAGCCGAAAATAAATATACTTGAACTTCAGAAGTAAAATTGGTAATTCCATTTTCGATGTAATATTGTAGTTATTTTTATTGTGATAATTAAGATAGTTTACAAATATTGAGAATGGATTGAAATTGTTTTATTCATTTTCTTATTAATGATTTTATTGTTTAGACTTTACCCTAATGAATAGCTTAAGTGAAGTCTTATAAATTAATAGTTATTTTGTAATGGACATTATTTTATCCGCTTACGGTACTTCGTATTTAGTTACAGTCATTTTTCTGAAATATTGATTTTTATGGATGAATGGTTATTCACCTGTTTGCATTTCAGTATAATTTCGTAGATGTATTCAGAAAATGCGATAATACTGAAGGCAACATATGGAACTACCATAAAAAATTAACGCATCATATCATAAGAAATAAAATTAAAGCAGATGTCGAGTTTCGTGTATTACATATGGGATATCGTGAAAGGGTTATTTCCCAGGTTTCATAGTCTAAATAAGCTCTATTTGCCTATCGTGGCAACTTCGGTATCCCGTGAGTGATTATTTTCAGAGGCTGGATCTACAATCACCCAGGAGAGAAACCACTTACTAGGCACCAGATTGTAAAAATTATTATTTTAAGATTCAATTCGAAAGAAATAAACGTAAAAAAATATTTAATTAATTCTTGTTTTCTGATAATTATTCGATAAAATTAAATGTGTAAAAATAAATAGTGTAAGACTTCCTCAAAAGAGCATAATCACATTTATTTACATATTGTCTACAATAATCTGATCTTGTCACTTTTTATAAATGCTTTAATTTTCTTATTTGAAGGGTTTAAAAAGTTGTAATTTCATGGTTTTTTTTACTGCAAATATCTATTTTTTTTCTATTAGAAGTATAAATGTAGCAAAGTCGTACTTAAAACCACATAAAATAGAACTACTTTCAAGTGAATTAGAAATAAATAAAATTAAAAAAATATATATTTTCGTACTTTTTACCTATATTCCATTCATAAACCAGAAACGCCTGAAAACTCTCTCAGTTCCGCTGGAATTTCTAGGCATTCAGACGTGGGCAGTGTTGCTCAACGTTACTTTATTTTGACTCTCCCTCGCGCAGCTCTTATGGACTGAGCGGAGCATATCGTGAAAGTTGCTCTACTTAAATATATATTATTTTTATTTAATTGTCATATTAGTTCTAGTTTTTGTATTAGTGTTTATATTAGTATTAGATTAATTGACTTGGACTTTTATATTTAGAGAATTTCAATTTATTACCAAAAGAAAAACGGAAAAAGATTGATAGAAAAAAGAAGAAATACCCTTACGTCAGTAAAAATAGTAGTAAAGTACAAAATGTACAAGGTAGAGGCGAAATTTGTATGTATGAAGAGGCAGTTTTTATTTTCCTTCGGTTGTATATTTACCCTTTTTAAATCTACAACCCGTATAAACATTACTAAAAACGACATTTATGAAATATAAAAGGGTAAAAAATTATACTACCACGACAAAAGTAAAAGGAATATTTTTGGAAAAAAAATTAATAAGTTATATATTTAGTGAAATAGAGCAACCTTCACCTGTGATCTCGAACGTATTTATGCACGGGGGTGAGCGCCCCCTCTAATAGCTGGGAATGTAAAACAGCAAAGCTAGACGGCCTTAACAAAATTGGGTGGTATCCCTAGTGGGTGGTTATGGTGGTATATGGTTGGGTGGTATGCACTATCCTTTTTTCGCACAACAAAAACGTAATTAGACGCCTTTCTTAGGTTATGCTAACCAACCTCGAGGATTTCCCGACTAATAATGAAAACCTAACATGTATGTAAAGTTTGTTTCAAGGGAAGATGAATACTGTTGCTCGTATTTAATTAGTTGTCAGTCTTCGTTCGCAAAAGTAGGTCAAAATACGGTGAGTAGTTTTAGTATTGAAACCATTCTATTTCAAATGTTTTGTGATGTGTCCTTTATTTATTTGTTTTCGCATTTCTAGCCTTACTGAGAAACACGGATCTCGTGGAATTTTTACTGCTTTGGTAAACTGTTTACATGGTCTTCTAATAGAATACTTAATTGGAATTGAGGATTGATTCGAGTCATGATGGATAATGTCTCCATCATGACTCGAATCAATAATGGCATATCTAATTTAATTCTAGTCAAATGTGTTGTATGTATCATACAGGAAGTCTCTAGAGCTCTTAATGAAGTTCTAAAAGATGAAGTAAAGGTAGTTATATTTTTAAGGTTTTTTATTGACAAAATAAACACAAATCACCACAAATTACTTAATATAAAATAAAGATATCAAAGACAAAAATCAGACACTGACAACAAAATTTTTGGCAAACAAAAACAATGATAATTAATTATTAGGTTCATTCATAGTTCACTTGTTTCATTAGATCCAAATGTTTCAAATGAATTTGTTAATGCAATTTGTATAATGTTAGATTTAGTCTGGATTGAGTCCGTATTTGCGGATTGTGTGTGTGCAGGTTGGATTGAGTACGTGTTTGCGGATTGAACATATGGAGATTGGACTGAATAAATATCGGATGAAGGTTGGATTAAGTGTGCGTTTGCAGATTGAAAGGATGGGGTTTGCATTGAGAGGTCGTTTGCACATTGAATAGATGTGGTTTGATCTGAGAGTTCAACAGGTTGATTTGATGCATAAATGTTTGAAATTGGTTCGGAATATGAGCTTAAAGTACCTGAAGGTCGGTTTCGCATACGAATATTCAACCCTGGCTGTGATCTGCATGAAGTCGATACTGACGGTAGTCTAGAATATGGGTTTGAATCAAGTGGAGATGGTGTTTCAGGTCTAGGTAGCCTGCACTGAATTATATTAATAAATATGCCATCTATTTCATACATTATTAAACTTCGTTCGTCTTTGGATAGTTCCCTCAGTTTTTAGCCAAAAGCTTGGCGTAGAGATCGCAGTCATCATCTTCTTTAATTGGATTATGTGATTGACGTTGTCCTAAAACATTAGTCAATTGACCGAATGCTGTTGCGATTTGCTGCTCGGCTGTATTAGGTACTGAACGACGACGGTTATTTTTTTCTTGAGTAGGCGGCATCTGTGAGGTTGGAGTCCTTGGCGATTGTAACGTTTTCATCACTTCGCTATCAGTTATTTCGTTGTCGATAGCTTCATGTATTTCCAGTGTTGTTTCATCTCCAAAAGGTTCCTTTGTTATTTGTGAATCATGTCATTCTGATAAAGTTGATGGTGTCTGTAAAAAAGGTATTTTAATTAATTTATGCTAATCTATGCTATTATTATTTCAGATGCCCACAACAGCGGACGGTTGGTTAGATATCGAAAAAGGATTTAGAAGAAAATTTCCACACTGTATCGGATCAATAGACGGCAAGCATATCGTAATGGAAAACCCTTATCACAGTGGAACCGAGTTTTATAACTATAAGAAGACTTTTAGCATTGTTCTAATGGCACTAGTGGATAGCAATTATAAATTTACATTTGCCGACATAGGAAGCCAAGAAAGAATAAGTGATGGTGGTTTATTCAACAATTCATTGTTATGGAAAAAATCTGTAAAAACGAATTAGATCTACCTACACCATGTCCTCTTCCCGGATTAAATATTGATGTGCCATATGTCTTCATAGGCGATGGTGCTTTTGCACTCAGTACACATGTAATGAAACCATACCCTGGCAATCATGATTCGGAATCACAAAAAAGGATATTTAATAAATGTCTGTCCAGATCCCGAGTTGTGGTGGAAAACACATTCGGAATCTTAAGTGCAGTATTTAAAATATTCCGACGACCAATTAATATGGATCCAGATATTGTATCACAATTGACAATGACATGTGTACACATTTTTCTCAGAAACAGTAAAAATTCTGCAGCAAGATATACTCCTCTAGGAACGTTTGATGAATACGATGGTAATGGCAATCTGATAAGGCCTGGATCGTGACGAACAAACGCAGATGGATATAACGCTTTAAGAGATTTGCCAACGCACGAAGATCACCTCTGAACGCTAGAGAAATCAGGGACGAATTTTCTTCATATTTTTATAGGGCTAGAGTATCCACTAACAATGTACCTACCTACATATTATGTTAAAATTATATTAATGTATAACTTCTTTGTTTTTAGGCGTGTAAGTATAGCATAGCACTTGTAAGCTCTTTTTAATATTTTTAAAGAAAAAACCGAAATATAGAATGACACAGGCGGGACTCGACCCATGACCTCCGGCGTACCGTGCCGCCAGGAAAAAACTAATTATTTGTATCAAAACTAAACTAATATGTACCTACCTACTAAGTTACTAATACTAATAAATAGTACCTTTATTTAAATATATGATTAAAACATACGAATATTATTTATTTACCTCTTCTGTGTTGAGTCTTACTGGTATAAACAGGCAGCAGAAAGGACTCCATTATCTGGTATGCAAACCAAATGGCTCGTCACTCCCTGAAAAATTGATTGATCACTAAAATGTTGTACCACATACGGGAATCAAACCTGGGACCTAAAGTACTACGTAAGTAAGTAAAGTAAACATAAGTAACTGCACCAGATGGCATAGAATCTTGTTTTTTCTTCAGATGGCGCCTAAGGAGACCCTAATGGGAACATCATTAGGGTCTTCTTTTTTGTTTTCAAATCCTTAATTGATACATTTAGTATTTACCAATTTTCGTCCAAGCATCGTGAATTTTTTTCTTGTCCTTATGGAATTTAAGTTCGGGATTCCATAATATTTCTTCTTCCTGGTAATATTCCAGGAACGTCAAAATTGTCTCGTTTGACCATTCCACCATGTTGTAATCTCCGATCGTAGCGACTTTTTTAGCAACGTTGAAGATCCACTCGTCACCAAAGCGCGAGAGAGACTGACTACCCGCGCGCGTGAAAACAGTCACCGGGCGCCCGCACATTCATCCTTTGAACTTTGCCAAAAAACCGACACTCGCCCGGTTCGCGGCATTCACGTTCACAGGCGCGTTTACGGGCTCGGGCGTACCGTTTACACGCTCGGGAATGTGAATGTGCACGTTGAATGTCGAGTTGAACGTACGCGTGTGAACATAGCATAAAATAGCGTCAGCAGCGCGTGTGGTGAAATACCTAGTTTTTATTTATATAAATTATGGGAACGGGATCTGATCGAAAACCCGGACTTTTATTGTAGTTCGGGTTGCACCCGGACTAAAATTTAAACCCCGCCCGGACGCTCCCCGGAAGTCTTCCAAACTAGGACAAATCCGAGGAAACCCGGACAGATGGCAGCCCTATAAGTATAGATATTGCTATTCTTGTAAAAATCTAAGAGTCAAAGAGCTTATAGTTTGTGGTCAAAGAGTTAAGACTAAAGAGTATACAATATACATAGTAATTCTATACGAGGCTGTGACGAGTATCTAGTATATATATTATAGTTATCTGTGCCCCAAAATGGCCCCAAACCCAAACGTACCTACGATATATATAGTTATATAGTATTATATATAGTATATAAAGTAAAATCACAGGTAAAAATAAACTCGGAAAATTGGGAAAACCACTCCCACAACATATGATTCATGTCTTTGTGTGGAGTTACCTATGGTTTAATAAGATAGACATTTATTTTAATTTGTACCTACCTATTTTTCAAGAAACTAGGAAGTTATACAATATATATAATAAGTGACAAATTAATTATCTTACTGGAAATAAAAATAAGTTGAAATGAGTTATAGGGACACGGTGAGTTACTCTATTTTATTAGGTTTTATAATATATTATTATATTAGAAATCCCGAGTTTCTTTCTCGTTATTATGTTATCATAAAGTGTTTAAAATTCTGTTTTAAAATTATACAATCTCAAGATTGCTTCCGAGGCTCAGGTTATATTCCTTTACTAAGACGTTTGTTAAATTATATCATAATGTAACAAAATCATACGAAATACAAATGTAAAGTAAACATAGTGATTAATTGTGATCTTTGTATAAAGGAGATGTAATGTGTATGATGTTATCAAAATTAAAACTTAGAGAAGAATGGAGTACTATTTTTACATATTAATTAAATATGTCCCACTCTTCATTATTCGAAGTTATTTGGTTCATCTTCAGGCTTTTTAACATTTATTGATAGACAATATATTTTCAACAGTATTCACTCTTGCCAAGATTTCATTCCTACAATGCAGCTAATGAACATTCAAGAACATATCAAAGGACATTGATGGTATTTATTGTGATGCAAATCTTAGTTTCAAAACTATCTCTATAATTTCAATGAAACATTATGTTTTTTGTCCACTAACAAGTTGTTTAAAATATTATTTATAATATTCATTCCAATAATCCACTTTCATTGAAATGATTTTGATATGTTACGATTTTGAAAATAAAACTTGTTATGGTTTGATTACATATTATAATATAACAGTAGCTGGCCCAGCAGACATTGTTTTACCCTTCCCGAAAGGTGGCGCATAAGGTACACTTCAAGTCCACTCAAATAACTCAACTTCAGCACCTATCGGTTCTAGATTTTGTGGTTTCTGTTTTGACATTAAACCAATATATTGTGAAAATGAGTCATTAAATCTAGTAGAAAATTTGTTAGTATAGTTATTCTATTTCACAATTAAGGTTTGGCTTTGGTTGTTGTTAGTAGTTCACATACACATTGTGTTAGTGTGCATAGGCCTTAGAAATGCTCAGTCACAATCGCGAGTTGAACAAATCACAGTTATACACACACACGCGCCTGATTGTACACATCACTACTACAATCAATGCGAAACCTTCATTGTGAAATAGAATAACTATAACTACCATAGTGCCACCTATCGGATGCTAGCTTAGCTCTGAACCATTACAAAGGAAAGAAAGAATGAAAACAAATTTATCGTGTGAATATAACCTGAATCAGTCATATATCACATAATTATCGCTCATAACTTACACTATGACTAACAGGACTTGGCAATAATTATATTATTTTCAAAGATTTAATAAACTTTTTGCTTTATGTTAATAAAAAATACTGAATGCAATTGAATGAAACTATATTTTTTGAACTTTGTTGTTTTCAATGTTTTGATTGATTATTTATATTGGTTGCATTTTATTGCCTGTAGAAATGGAGACAACTTCAACATTGTAATTGGCTGTGACTAAAAGTGCATTCATTTAAGAGGGTTTTTTCATTGACTAATACTAATAACATAATATTGTCACTGACAAACTTCACAGATACTGATAATATCTAAAAGCATTTTCATGGTATAGGTATCATGGGATATTTGACTTTCTCATTGGTCTTGTGGTAGTAATCATAGGTGCTGATTGTAAAGTTCCAGATTCACATTCTGGGTTGGTCCTAAAAGAAAAGTATGAGATTTATATCACCATTGTAGCACTATAACATTGCTTCCACTAATAGTTCAAAATTTATACAAATCTAAATATTCCAACATAAAGTAGTCCAATAAAAACAATTTTGTGCGTCCATTATCTCTAAAATCAGAATACAAAAATTAAAATGAATTAATGGTTACAAATCAAATACCTTATTATACCCAACTTGCAAAAGCTCAAAAGATGTCAAATGAGTTTTATGAAACATTTTTAGAAATGACATCAGACACAAGCATGCATCTTGTTATGAAGACTTGTCATCTGTGGATCATCTTGGGATCTGCATGATCAATAATGAGTAGATGTAATAGTTTGGAGAAACATAAGCTTAGACTTAATAGGGTGAAGTTGCATTAAACTGTCCGTGCCGATATTTCTCGGGAAGACGTCGCCGAGTACCGGAACGAACTTGTGTCTGAAGTAGAGTCTTTGCGGAACAAAGTTTCTCAGTTTTAAGGTACTTTCCTTGTTGCCTCAGCTAATATCGGAATCCTCGGCGTCGACATATCGAGTAACGTACAGTTTCGTGGTCACTTGGAAGAGGACACCAAATTGGCCTCTAAAAAGCTTGAGGTGCTCAGCAGGCCAGGACAGTATTTCATGCCGGCACACCGCCTGCATCTTTACTAAGCGCAGGTCTGGCCTCACATGGAATACTGTTCCCATCTCTGAACTGAGGCTCTCCAATGCTAGCTTCTTCCGCTTGACCGTATCCAGCGCAGAGTGTCTCAAATTGTCTAAGACCGAGTGCTTTCCAATCGGCTCGATTCACTGGCGCTGCGAAGATATGTTACATCCCTTTGCATTTTCTTTCGCTTCTACCATGGGGAGTGATCTGAGGAATTGTTCGGGTACGCACATCGCCGCTAAACTCTAATACCATCCACATCATCTGGATGCTTGGCGGTCCACCAGTGTATGTTTCACTAGAAGTTTTCTTCCGCGTACGAACTCTGTTGAATAATTTACCACCGTAGATTTTTCCAGACTTATACGACTTAGAGACCTTCAGGAAAAGAGCTTACTCCTTTCTAAAAGGCGGGCAACAACACCTAACAACCTACAATTTTTTTTTAATTCCCCTGGTGTTGCAGTTGTTCATGGGCGGCGGTAGTCACCATTAGGCGAGCAGTATGCTCTTTTGCCTCCTTTCCCATAAGAAAAACCACTTATGTTTTATCACCGTTTCAGAAGCTGTACCTAACGTGTTTGTCTAATTTTAATATTATTAATTATTTTAAGTAGATTTTTACTTTTTATTGTAGTTTACTTTTTGTGCAACTTTACAAGGCGCAGGATCGGCCGCACATGGAATACTGTTCCCATCTCTGGGCTGGAGCTCCCCAGTATCAGCTCCTTCCACTTGACTGCATCTAGCGCAGAGCGGCTCGAACCATCGACGACCGAGTGCTTTCCGATCGGCTCGATACACTGGCGTTGCGAACAGATGTTACTTCTCTTTGCGTATTTTGTCGCATCTATCTCGGGGAGTGCTCTGAGAAATTGTTCGGATTAATCCCAGCCGCCAAATTGGATATACGACGTCCCGATACCATCAACACCATCTGGATGCTTGGTGGTCCACCACTGTACGTTTCAGAAGGAGTTTTATTTCGCGTACGACCTCTCTGTGGAATAGTTTACCACCGGCGATTTTTCCGGACCGATACGACCTGGGGACCTTCAAGATAAGAGCTTACTCCTTTCTAAAGGGCCGGCAACGCACCTGCAATTCTCCTGATGTTGCGGTTGATCACGGGCGGCGGTAGTCACTTAACATCAGGTGAGCCGCATGCTCGTTTGCCCCCTCTTCTATAAAAAAAAACCATTTACTCCTGCCTAAATTCCGTGAACCCTAGTTATTAAACAGAATCAAATCCTAAAGGATTTTGTATTAACGTGAAAATGATTTTCCTATTGTACATTGTCCTCACACTCATATCGGTGAGCAGTCTCATATGCCCAATTGTAGGGTAATATGTTTTTCTATAGGTCCATTGTTATTATGCCTTTTAATACTTGACACCTGCATTCTGCAAGCATAAATGATATTTATATCTACAGATAAATGAAAAAATATCAGAATTATAAAAATGGGTCAATTTCTATGCAGTTGTGTATCTTGCAAATCTTATGTTCAGAGTTATGGCGGTTCGCCATCGTCGGTGCTGAATTCATTACCACCGATACGCTCACGAGTATTTTCTGATGTAACGTACACATCAACACCAGATGTGAATGAAGTTTATCCTGGACTATTTGTAGGTGATGCGTAAGTATTTTTATATTTAATTATTTATTTTACGGTATTCTTCATACACATACAAGCTTTGTTTTGCAGCCATTTACACAAAATTTTACAATACAATACAAGTGAATTTGCGTTCACGCGTATATTGAAAGTATACAACAACAGTACGCACAGGTCGGGATTGATCGCGTATAGTTTCAATTTGTTAGGAGCGTAATTATTTTTAGAAACTACATGGTTATTACGCTTTTATCGCGTTTATTTTCCAATAAGGTACGCTTAAACTTTGAGTGAAAAACATACTACACTAGTTAAAACATACATATCATAAACGTGATAGAGTGTATGTTATTAATGTGTGAAGATAGTATTTGTATGTTATACAAAATAATACTAATATTATAATTAAACTTATAATTACTTCCTGTTCGCTTAACAATTTCGTGATAAAAATAAAAGAAAATGTACTATGTAGATTATATAACATATATTGACACTTGAAGTTACTTCTGTAACAGCTTCGGCGCTGCGGGAAGTGCAGCCCCTTCGCCGTTACGCAGCAAATCGCAGTCACCCATGCTCGCCTCCACAACTTCGACTTATTGGTCGCCGAACGGCTCGCACTCTATCTGCAATTTGATACGGCGGGCGGGGGCTGCTCTTCCCCCGCGCCTACGGATTTACAAAAACACTAGAGGTAGGACAGACAAGACTACGTGGAGTCGGCCGTGTTGATTCAGTTTTAGAATCTGGCGAAATGATTCGACCAATCATCTAATTAGCCGTGTTTTCGCGGTCACCATAGATTTTTTCCAAAAATACGGTTTATCTTATTATTATCCTACGACATGTATGAAGTACACATAATTATATATTAAATATATAACAATGACAATGAATGCCGTAAAAAAGCATCTGTCAAATTGACAATTATTGTATTTCTTGTTGAAAGTAATTGGACATATTATGAAGATAAATAATATTTAAGTGCCTTTATAATAAAAATACTATTTTTGTAATAAAAATAATTTGGTCCCTCACAAAGGGCTTCATTATTTTAACAGTTATTACCTTTAAATTGCCATAAAGTAATAACTACAAAATGATTTCAAAAGGAAAGATACGCCCATCTAAATATTTTACTCATAACTTCTTCATACAAGAAAAAGTAGCGCATCTGTCACATTGACTAATTTATTACTAGCGTAAGGACTGGGCCGAAAATCGGACCAGTGCGTTGACCCTAAAATTACAGTAACAACAGACAGAAAATGTATGGACTACTGAAATGTTAGTGCGAGAAGACCCACGAATCGCATATACAACAGTGGCGAAGCCTCCATAGAAGCCCAGAAGCCGGGCTTGCTCTATAAAAATGCTCAATCAATAATATCAACTAATAAAATAACTCGTAAACTGTTTGCATGACCTCGTATCATATAATATGTAACGTCAACACACTGGCAGTTTGCTTTCAATTCGAAATACACTGGACTGTCAAAATTAATTAAAGCAAGGAGTTGATTTTGTCATCTGTATCGCACGCGTTGGCTTTTTACCGGGCCTTCGAGAAGATGATCGCTGCCTTTCTAACCTGTGGCAAAATGTTCCATAATGAAATATAACTACGAAATGTTTATATAGCAATTACTATGGAACCAAAAGCCGTGCTTTGCCCTGAAGTTGTTTGGGAATGCGTTAGCGAGTTGGGGTACGGTAATACGTATTCAAGTTCACTTCACATTTCAATGTTTATGTTTGTTTTTGTTGTGTCTGTTAAAAATTTATCCTTTTTCAAAGTTTTTTAGTGAAAATGGGAGGATAATAGTGTTCCTTGTGATGAATATAAGTGTGTTAAAGTGCTGATCGGCGAGGAAAATGTAAAATCTTTAAAAATGAAATTTTAATTCAATAAACATTTCTTCATAATTCAATAGGTACAGGAGGGCTCTTCAGTATTAAAGTTTAATTAGTTTAGGCGTATTTAAATTTATTATGAGTTAAAAATATCATTTTGAACTTCAGCATAAAATATGAGATACCTAGGTATAAGTTTAATTTTATAGCAAATAATTGTTACAATCCTGTTTTTAATGTGAAGCCTAAATTTTAATGTAATAAATTAAATGAATAGATGGATTGAGGTTTTAAAGAATATTTACTTTAGTCCTTAAAGCTTTATCTTCTCAGTTCAGTATATAAAATTTTAATAGCGCCATCTACTTAATTCTATATATAGGTGGAGTCATTTTATCGAATGAAAATTGATTGATTCTCACGGTGGTACGTAAAGATTACGCTAGATGGCACAAACACGCTGTCGGCTAATTTAATATTTATATTATCTTAAGAGTTAAAAATATCATTTTGTACGGTTTATTAAAATTGAATATGAATAGTTATATAATAAATAGTCATTATTTTACGTTGAATAAAACTAAATTTACGGATTTTATCGCGTTTATTTCATTACTTTTACTTATTTTTAAATATTTTTAATTCTTGACGTTTCGGGTGCATCACAGCACCCATGGTCACGGGGGGGGGGACTGAGATGTTTGACGTCCCAATGGCATAGTAGCACGTCAGCTATATGTTCGCAGACTGTTCACCGACCGGTGAAGCACCGACGCTCCGGGAAGTCTGCAGTCTGCGAACATATTCAAGATCGTCCCCACCATTACATTCGATTTGATAAACCACAAATTCTCGCAAAAGAACACCGATTCCTGCCAAGGATGATACGCGAGGCTATTGAAATTAAAAAACATCCAAATTTCAATAGAGAAGATGGATGGGTGCTGCCACCTGCTTGGGATCCTATAATTAACAAAATTAAACCCAAACCTAAGCATACCACTGCAAGACTTCATGATACTATAAGCTCGTTTTGCGTAAATCGGACCAAAAATTAATATTCAAAAACTGAAGGTAGCCGGACTAACTATGACATTGGGACGTCAAACATCTCAGTCCCCCCCCCCGTGACCATGGGTGCTGTAAAGCACCCGAAACGTCGAGAATTAAAAATATTTAAAAATAAGTAAAAGTAATGAAATAAACGCGATAAAATCCGTAAATTTAGCTTTATTCAATGTGTAGCGTTCGCGTAAATTTAAGAAATCATTATTATTTTACGTTTTGAAAACGGGGCATCTAGGCGTGTTTCGGAAATCGTTACTGGTTACGAGACATGGATTTATCAATACGATCCGGAAAATGAAAGGCAATCATCGGTGGGCCTACTCAGAAGGACAGTTACCGACAAAACTACTAAGACCTCGCAACTTCGGCAAACAAATAGTGGCTAGTTGTTTTTTGCGGAGCGGACATTTGTCGAGGTCAATGCTGGCAAATTGTAGATCAGTCAACTCTAAATGGTATACTACAGTTGCATTACCCAAAGCTTTTCAAGCTGTGCGGGAGAGAAGACCAAAGACCGGGCTTCGGGGAATCATGCTGCATCACGATAACGCGTACTCCCTTAGAACAAAAGCATTTATTGAGGAATCTGGTGTTGAAACTCTAAGTCACCTACCCTACAGCCCTGACTTAGCTCTTTGTGATTTCTTTTTGTTCCCCAGAGTCAAAGAAAAATAAAAGGCAAGTTTTGCCCTTCCGGTTTTGTTTTCACGTATATTGTACTGTAGGTTTATTTTACTTCAGACTGCGTTCTCGTACAATTTCTTAACTAATTTACTGAATCAGCGTTAGAAAGTATACGCGACTAGTATGCAGAAATCGTGTATATTTTCTGAAAATTTTATTTGCTACACATTCTGAAAACGTACAGTATAAGAACACTATGAATGCGTGCTGTCCTTGTATACTTTCAGTATACGCTACGTTTCCAACAACTAATGTAACAAAAATGCACAAATATGAGAAAACAAAAGACAGTCTCATTGTTATACAGCATTTTCTTTCAGACAAACCTAAAAAGGAATTAAATAAATAAAAGTATTACGGTGAACGTCATCGAAATATGCACTAAAAGACCAGAGTTTTAGCCATAGATCAGGGACAAATAAATGGAAAAGTGAAATATGTTATATTTATTGTTAGATTAAACTTTTTTTGAAACTTAAACTTAATCTCTTTAAATTTTATGGATTATGAACCAAATTTTTGGTATAATATGTTTTTTACTATAATTATGATCTTCAATTTTATAAAAGGAAAACACGATAACGTAATTTTCTCAATAGAAAAAAAATCGTAAGATATTTCGCCATGCCTCCACAATATTTTTACGAGTTAGTTCAGGGAATGGTTTTTAAAACATCTATACTTATAATAAATCTGTAAGGAGGTCAATTCTGTACATGAGATATATTTCCAAAATAACTATCAGGGGGTGATTAGTGATGGGTACTGATGCCAAAAATGCAAACAGTAAATTTTTTGTCTGTCTTGTCTGTATGTTATAGAAACAAAAACTACTCGACGGATTTTAACGACACTTGGTACAATCATTCTTCATACTCCTGGGCAGGTTATAGTATTTTTTAGTTTAGTTTTATTTATAGCTTTTCATCACGCTACGACGATCAATAGGAGCAGAGCAGTGAAGGGAAATGTTGGGGAAACGGGAGAAATTACTCCATTTTTAAGCTTCCGTCGCGTGTGCGCAGCCTTAATGGTTAAAGCTACACAGAAATCATGTATAACGGAAATGTTCTCCTTAAAATTATATAAAAATATCCCACGACAGCATATTATGTCTATCTTTTATGGTTGACTCACAATAACAGGTGTAACTCCCGATATCTTAGCAGTTCGGAGCTTTCTGATTATATTTGTCTACTCTTACGTTTATAACACTCTCTCTCATCCCTAATTAAAAAAAGTTTACATAATTATCTGTTTAATTAAAAAAAAATATAGAAATCGGTATAATAACACCAAAGTTATACATGAAATACGTTAATAAGCCATCGCGCGTGAATACTGAATCATGCGTAAGGATTATTTTTATGTCGCGCTCGACGCGGCTCGCGGCGGGAGGTATAAAAAGGCGGGGGGCCCGTGCTATGAGCATTCACCACCTCCCTCCCCCCGCTTTCCGGAGGGTTGTCCATATTGCTTTGGGCGCAAAAAAAAAGTGCGAGCTTCATACAATATTTGGCTGTTGATGCGAATAGACGTTCAGAGTGTTCGACCTTACTGTAATATATAATTATATATAATACAATAATTGATTTTAACAAACCGTGCTTATCAGCGCGACTTTTGGTCTACTCTTACGTTTAATAATTTATTTTTAGATTTTTTGGTTGTTATTTTATAAAATAGGTATTAGTTATTTTGGTAGTGTTTAAATATTTCTTAGTATTAGCTTAATTATAAATTAAACTTTTTTTATTTAGCTGTAGTTTTAAATAGGTACCTAGGTATCAAATAGGTTATTTCATTCTATTAGACGTAGTTTAGGTACCTACTTATATATATTTAAGAATTTAATTTTTGATTTACTCGGAAGTTTTGCGCTGAAGTACTTTTGTTCTATAAGTATTTAAGCCTCATGTGAACGTGATCTAAACAATATTGCCAATATATTAACTTAATAACACACAAGGAGTTACACTCCATCCAAAGCCCAGCGACACTATAACATATATAGGAATGACGTCTTAGCAAAAGTTGTGCAGTCTGATGGGCATTTCCTGTTGACTTACAAAAATGAAAGATCTAGAACGTCTCGAATCGTCTCGCGAATCACGTTGTTTTCCCGTCCCCGGGCTCTTAGAATTCAACATCAGACGTTTCAGATCTTCGATTTTGACGACCCCGTTGTCGCTGGCATAAGCAACAGGATCCGCGTACGAAGTCGCGGGCAGAAGCTAGTACCTAGTAAATAATTATATCTAAGTTCACATAAATCTTTTTAAATCCATAAGTAACGTTGTTCGAACGTCGTTTCATTTTTTATCGCATAAATGTAATAGATGGTACGGGCACGGTAATATTATGAAATTACCATGGTACGGGTATGTTTGAATAGAATAGAATAATCATATTTATTCAATATTGCATGTAAGTCATATTACATGTAATTCTTTCTTTTACCACTGGTTCAAAAAAACCTCTTTCCTGGGAGGAACTAGTAGGTAATTTAAATGTATGTTAGCACCTGTACTTGTCACACTTAAATTGTTAAATGTTTGTATTTTTTTTAACTTGTTAAAAGCAGTTTATTTATAGTACAGTTCTTGAGACCGTATGTGTATATGTTTGTTTTGGCATGTTCATTATATAATAACTACTGCCTCGTTGGTCTAGTGGTTGTAATGGCGCGACTACTGATCATGAGGTCCTGGGTTCGAATCCCGGGTCGGGCGAAAAAATTATTTATTGGGTTTTTCCGTCAAGAAGAATTTCTTAAATAGCTGTCCGGAGTCAGGAAGTTGGCGGTATATCACCCCCGTGCTTCGGAAGGCACGTAAAGCCGTTGGTCCTGCGCCTGATTCTCTCCGGTCGTGTCGGTTTACCGTCCCATCGGAATATGAGAGTGATGGAATAGAGAGTGCACCTGTGCTTGCACAATACACTTGGGTACTATAAGCCTGTCCTGCGCCAATGGCTAGTCTCCGTTGAGACTGGGCGCCGTGACCGAAATTCGGTCTGGAGGACATTATTATTATTATTATTGTTATAACTATATGAATTTTTTTTCAGAGTTGCTGCTAAGGATAAAGCTTTTTTGAGGCGTATGGGTATTAACTATGTTTTGAACACGGCAGAGGGTAAGCGGTACACTCAAGTGGACACAGACCATTTCTACTACCGAGATTGTCCTGGTCTTCGTTACAAGGGCTTCCCGCTGATGGATCTTCCCACTACTGATATATCTAAATATTTTCATATTGCCGCCAACTTCATTGACGAAGGCATTTCTAGAGGCGGTAAGTCATTTCTATTATATTATTTATATTAATAGTAGTCATGGAAAAATAGAAGCTCGAACAACTCAATGAAAGTTGGTGTTGTAATAAGAAAACGTGTAATAAATTTGAATGCAAAGAAGTTAAAATGTATATTTAAACAGAATATGGGTAGTGATATTTTAACTAAGATAAGGTTCCAGTTTTCTTTAATAATATAGTAGCCCGGTCAAATTAGACCATAAAATAAGAGTGAAGATACATAAAGTTACAACAAGCTAATAATCATTAAAATTGTTCAAAATATAATTATAAATTCAAAATTTTGAAGTTCTTCACCATTCCTGTGTATGGAAAATTTTTTACACAAGGTCAAAGGTCAAAAAATGAGTCGCGATTTTCAGCAAAACGGTAAGTTTTATCATAAAAATACCCCAGACAAAAATTGTAGATCATAAAATTATATATAAAAAATGTATTAATACTTTTTTTCCTACGAGTTACCGTTTCTGAGATATTATGATTCAAAAAGCTGTAAAAGTTGTAAACACGTTTTAACGCCACGTTTTTTTATCGTTGCTTCCCCAATAGGCCTATTCCACGAGTCCGTTATGATCTTGTTTAATTTTTAACTATTGCAAAATGATAGAAATTAGCAAAGATTGGAAAAACGTAGTAAATAATAATATAAATAGGCACATGCTCCAATGAATATAGAAGAAGCAGTCCAAAAAGTCAAAATCACAAAACTACGCACAGTAAGCTCCCGAAATGGCGGGAAATTGAAATTACGTAGTATGTTTTCAGCGCGGCCTTGTATATGAGTTTTTTGCCTACACAAATTTACATTGACAAAGTAAAAAAAAATAAACTTGTTTTATTCATGATTCATGTAATTTAAGGAATTTTAAAAATAAAAATTTAATTAAACAAATAATACATAAAAAAATTAATGATTTTATTATTTGAATATTTTAACCGATTATTTGAATATTTTTGCCGATTATTCGCACTACAAGTAATTTTAATCATCCAAACGCTACGGTAAGGTACATAGCGACATATCATTGAAACTACGTCAAGTAAAAAAGTTGATACTGTTTATTTTTTAATATTTTGCTTTGTTTGAAAGATTCGAATTTAAATTAGCGATAAAAAACTATACAGGTTGTAATGAAATATAGATAACTTCATAATTCTTCGGATTTACGTTATTTAACGATTTAAAGGTTTTTTTTTTTAAATCGTTTGAGTACGCTTGTGCAAAGTTATTGCTGAATGATTAATATGAAACGTCAAAAGGTATTTCTTAGATTTGGTTGACTATAATACATTTTTTGTAGATAATTTTATGATCTACAATTATTGTCTGCGGTATTTTTATGATAAAACTTACCGTTTTGCTGAAAATCGCGAAAAACTCATTTTTTTTACTTTTGACCTCAAGTAAATTTTTTCCATACACAGGAATGGTTGAGAACTTCAATATTTTGTTTATAATTATATTTTAAACAATTTTAATAATTATCAGCTTGTTGTAACTTTATGTATCACTCTTATTTTATGGTCTAATTTGACCGGTCTACTATAACTATAACCTTTTTATACCTATGAGGCCATCTTTAAGGGAGGGCTAATTATTTTTAGGTCCCCCAAAAGATTATCATAATTAAATGGTATAATATTTATGGATAATGATCTTTACATGGCTCGAGAAAGAAGAAAGCGTAAGCTACTTCTAAGCATGAAATGATTGATTTATAAAAATTTTGAAAATTAAAATGTTTGCGGGAGATTTAAGCTTGTTTCTGACTCCAAAATGTGTAGAAAACAATAGATATTTTACTTTACAGGACGCGTGCTTGTTCACTGTTTGATGGGAGTTTCCCGTTCGGCTACGTGTGCACTCGCCTTTCTCATGATTAAGCGTGGTATGACCTTCACTGAGGCACTTGCTTTGGTTCGTTCACGCCGTGATATTCATCCTAACGATGGATTTATTCGCCAACTGCAGCAACTAGACAGGGAGCTGCGTGTCTCCCGGCTCCGCTGACAACTAACAACTTATCAGCCCTTCTGTTTATCCAATAATTACAGGGATGAACGGCATCGTGTTCGAAGCTTGGATCGAGCTACAGCAGTCGTTATTCAGAATCAAAAATCTGCGAACCTTAGTTAAGGTTTGCAGATTTTTGAGAAAGGTTTAAAAAAACATTTTTTTAAAATCCCCAAAGAAATATCGGTACAAAACTATTATAATGATCTGTGGGAATTTTCCATAAATTCTATTTAATATAATGGTCTAATAAAAATGTCCGTGGCTATTTTGTTTACAATTTTTCTTGTTTTCTTATTGTAACTATTGTTGTGATAAAGATTTTTAAAAAAAACTGTAATATTTTTTGGACAAATTTTAATTATTTAATATCAAATAATAATCAGTCGCGATATTTAAATTTAATAATGCATTGATTCTCAGGTGCCATTGGTTTAGAATATTATTTATTAAAAAAAACTAGAACAATATATTTACAACCATATATTATTTGAATGATATAATTCCTGGTGATATACTTGTTAACTTTAAAGTACAATTCTGTAGCCTTACAATTATAAAATAATTATCATGCTAATGTAGTAGTAGAAATTATAGCTAACTTGCTAATATGTGAAACATGTAACTTCCACCCGAATTCTGCTGCTTAAAACAATATTCAATACCTATTATTACAGTACATTACTATATTACAGTATAGTTGTCTTTTATGTTTATAATATGTAAGAATTGTTAATGTTTTATCTTGTTAATTAACATATAATCAAAAATACTATAGAGGGTGTCCACCTCTTTGTGTTATTTTATTGGTTGTGTTATTAGTTTTTTCATTGTAAAAACTATTATTGGATGTAAAACAATTAGCATTGTAAAGTGGAAACTTCATCCAGTAATTACATTTTATACTTAGGACCTGCTCTAATACCTTTAAAAGTAAAAAGAGCACATCTATTTGTTTCCAGCCATAAAGTTTTGTCAAATATTCGCAGCCATTAAACAATGACAATTTGTTGTGTTTGTATTTTAATGTTTAATTCTCAAAATATTTGACGTGCCTGCCTTTTTATGCGTTTAACACTAAAAACGTCAGTTTTTTAACTTACGAGGGTGGATTGAAAAGTACTCGGCCTAACACAGATCCATTCAATTATAAAAATCAAATCTACCCACATTATTTAGTTCAGTTCAGACTAGTTCATTGTGTGAAGTTCGAAACGTGTGCGATAATCAGTTGTGATTTTATAAATTTATTAACAAAGTAATCGGACATAATTTCCGCGAATGGAGCAAATCGAGCAGCGTGCCGTCATTAAGTACCTCCATAAGAAGGGGCTATCATCAAAAGCCATCCATGATGACATGGTCAGTACATTAGGCGATTGTGCTCTGTCATATTCATCCGTCAAAAAATGGATAGCAGAATTTAAGCGTGGCAGAGAGAGTGTGAAAGATGAACCCCGCTCTGGAAGGCCTTCGACGTCAACTACTGACGAAAATATTAAAAAAGTACTTGATTTAATAATGGAAGACCGCAGATTAAAAATTAGAGAGATAGCCGAGATTATAAGCATCTCTTATGAACGAACTCAAAACATCATTGTCAATGAGTTGGGTTTCCACAAGGTGTCTGCGAGGTGGGTTCCGCGACTGCTTTCAGTTGAACAAAAAAGGACGCGATTAACTATTTCACGCGACTGTTTGGAGTTATTTGAAGCCGATGCAGATGATTTTTTGAATCGTTTTGTTACTATGGACGAAACATGGGTTCATTACTGTACACCGGAAACAAAACAACAATCAAAACAGTGGAGAAGACCTGGTTCACCACCCCCTAAAAAGGCTAAGTCGATTTTGTCGGCAAATAAGGTGATGGCTTCAGTATTCTGGGACTCGAAAGGTGTGATTATGATTGATTATCTTGAAAGGGGTCAGACTATAAACTCTGATTACTACTGCACCTTACTACGTCGTTTACGAGAGGAAATAAAAGAAAAACGTCCAGGAATGCTCAGAAGAAAAGTCCTGTTTCATCAAGATAACGCCCGTGTTCACACGTCAGTACAATCAATGGCTGAAATTCACAACTGTGGCTTTGAACTGTTACCGCATCCGCCGTATTCACCTGATCTGGCACCATCAGACTTATTTCTGTTCCCTAACCTAAAAAAGCACTTGGAAGGTCAAAGATTTTCGACAAACGACGAGGTCAAAGCAGCTGTAGACGCATATTTTGACTCTAAGGAAGAATCATTTTTTTTCAACGGTCTAAATGCTTGGAAGGGGAGATGGCAAAAGTGTATTGAACTTGATGGTGATTATGTAGAAAAATAAAAATATAACTGATTTAGTATGTGTTTATTTTCTTGGTTAGGCCGAGTACTTTTCAATCCACCCTCGTATCAGCCCTAATCTATAGGGTGTAGTCCACTTGATGGTAAGTGGACGCGGTGTCACCTCTGAAGACTAATGGACGGCTCACACGGTCAGTTAAGCTGATCATTCCAACTGATCAGTTCAAACTGGGACTGTTGATATTTTTAAAATATCGGATTTTTGATATATCGATAATTATATCACTATTGGAGTTTTATATATAAGTTTATTTATCGATATATTTCGAAAACCCGATATTTTAAAAAATATCAACAGTCCTAGCTTGAACTGATCAGCTGAACTGAACGTGTACGTCGTCCATAAAACGGAATGGAACATGTGCACGAACATAATGCCCGTTCTATGTTTGTTTTTTAATTCAGAAATACTATAATTCAGTATTTCTGAATAAAAAGTAAGTAATTTTTTTGGAAAATATGTACCTTACTAAATATATACACGGGATCTTTTACAAAATTATCTGTAGAAGAAATGGCAATGATTGACATTATTTCGGGCCACATTGCGCTACGCGATCGTAACGCGTTTGGCCGCCAGCTTAGAGCGGTTCGTCCAAATATTTTCGTCATGAGTCAGTCCGATCCTATCCCTCTTAAGATTTGGGTCGGCGACTCGGTGACGAAACAGCCTAGTGGTCGGCCAAATCGGTCACGGTTATGATATTGAACGTTTTAGTGCGCAGAGACTTTTAAATTTAAATAAATGGTGTGATTAAAATATATTTAGCTGTACAGTTTCAATATTTTAATGTATCATGTACCAAAGAAAGAAATTGTGATAGTGGATATCGGAAAGCTAATTTTATGACCTAAAAATGTTTTTTTAGATGTTACTTATATATGACCAGACTATCTCATTAAAATAATTATCATAGCTTTTCAAAATAAAGTTTATAATTGCCTTGTATTAGCTCTGCTAGAGTAGAAAATAATTTTTCTTAAAGTTGCGAAAATTAATTTTAAGCAATTTGTTTACGACTGTGATAAATATTTTACTGTAGAATATCTGAATGAGTTAATAGATGTGTAAAGATTGCAATAGGTACTTGTTTTATCATACCATTACTGAAATACACTTCTCTATATAGATATTTAATTAAATCATTTTAAACATGAAAAAGCTACAGATTATATTATACTAGCTTTTACCCGCGACTTCGTCCGCATAAGTTTTTTTGTTTTCTCCCGGCTATAAGTCCCCCTGCAACAATGTCCCACTATCGTGTTCCAGTCCTCAACTTCACATCAAAATTTGTTCAAAAGCAACCTAAGCTACATAATGGATAGCTCCGAATGTTTCCTTAGTAAATATAAAAAGTAAATAATGTAAATCGGTTTAAAATACTACTAACTACCTACCTGCCAACCCCCCGATGTTAGACAGTGTGACATCCGTAACATCGTCTGCGTAGGAAGTACTAACTTAATGTAAGTAGTATAATAATGTAGGAAGCTAACAATAAGAGGCCTTATTACTGTAGTACATTTTTGTAAACTATGTTCTTTGTTTTTCCCTCTCTGGCCAACACATGGAGATTCTGTGGACTTGAAACACGTGAGCAAGCCACGTATAATTGTCCGTGAGAAAAACAACTCTTTTTCTAAATTAATGCCGGCTACTTTTAATGTTTGCCCCTGAGCTTTATTTATCGTCATAGCGAATGCGATTTTCAGCGGAAACTGTAATCTCTTAAACTGGAATGGCAAATCTGTCGGAATTATGGGTATACGGGGGATTAAAACGTTCTCTCCTTTTTGCCATTCCAGTCATAATGATTGCTTTTACAATATTGCGACCGAGGTGTGTCACTTGCAACCGTGTGCCATTACACAGTCTTGGTGCATCTAAACTCCGCATTAAAAGGACAGGAACGCCTACTTTCAGCCTCAGTTTGTGTGAAGGTACTCCCGACAGTTCTAAAGAATTAAGAAATTCTACAGGGTATGATGTTACTTGTTCAGTATCCATTACAGTGTCTACAGAGAGAAACTCAACAATATCACCTTCCACGCGTGACATAATTTGCTCGTTTATCTGTCCCACCATTTCATTCGTCGGCGCTAAAATTGCTCTTTCACATAACCAGTCTCTATTCCTCATATTAGTTAGCAGTTCGCTATAGACGAAGTTATTTAGATCATCTGGATTATGCACAACATTGCAGAATTCACGATCCAATGTAATCATGCCATTACCATCCTTTGCCATACGATCTTCTCCAATTTTAAGAAGAGCAGCAGCATAATGTCCAGATTGTACATCATTGTGTAGTTGCACTCTCATATTTGTAGACAGACTAAACGTTTTTACGTGCACCCATAACGTTGACGCTTTTAAACACGCATTTATTTCATCTGCAGGGGTGCCTTTAGTGATAACCGGCAAAGTCTGTCTAAAATCGCCCGCTAAAAGTACCACCATCCCCCCCCATGATATTTGGATTACTCTTGATGTCTTTCAAAGTCCGATCTAGAGCTTCAATTGCTCTTTTATGGGACATAGTACACTCATCCCAAACTAATAATTTACATTGCTGCAACATACGTCCACGCTCGCTGTTTTTACTTATATTACAGACTGGCATTTCTTCATGGGCTAAGTTT